GATTTGCCAGAGGCCACTTGTAATTATATCAACAATAATTACATCCAGACAACCAGGTATTTTTTATATTTACATATTTTTCTTTTTTAAGACATACTCCTACAAAAACCATTTGCCCTGCCTCAAAATACATTTCAGGCGGCCATTTTGTTTGTTTACATATTCCTACACCTGAAACAGGCAGTTGTAATTATAGTCGAGCAGTTGTAATTATAGCCTATATAATTACACTTGCCCTCTAACACTGTTGTAATGGCCCCCAGCTAGCACACAGATATCGGGCCGATATTGGGCCGATATCGGAGTCCATATCGGCCCAGTGTCGGTTTTAAGGGCGGGCCGACATCGGGCCAGCTTCCATTTGCAACACGTTTTGATGTCGGCCCGATATCTGCAAGTATATCGGCCCGATGTCTATCCGACGTATATCCAACCTAAAAACCATATTACTCCCAGTATTTGGACAACCTATGTATGTTGGCCCGACGTTGTCCCGACATTGGCCCGATGTAAATCTGCAGTCCTCCATATCGGCCCAGTGTCGGTTCTAAGTACGGGCCGACATCTGACCAGCTTCCATTTGCAACAAGTTTGATGTCGGTCCACTATCGGCAAGTATATCGGCCCGATGTCTATCCGACGTCTTTCCAACATGAAAACCATGTTCTACCCAGTATCTAGACAGCATGTGTATGTTGGTCCGATGTTTTCCCGACATTGGCCCGATGTCAATCTGCAGTTTTTCAGTACCGATATATTAAACTTAATTATAACTACAGTTTTGAAGTTTGAAATCATCCGTAGTCTTAACAAGTTCGTAGCTATTAAACTAGTTTTTTTCATTTATTGCATATTGTTTCTATATATACATGCATACTTATAAATCAAAGAAAAAACAGCAATATATACAAAAAAACACCATGAAAAACATGAAAATATTAACATTTATTCATAATATATAACTAATCAAGCCGTTCTCAGGTGGTTATCGCTATGCCATCACTAATTCCGTTAAGAACTGTTTGACTTTCGTCACAGCATCTGAAATAAATAGAATTATTTGTCAGTGTTATAAAATAATTCACATA